GAAAAAATAGATTTTTCATATGTTTTACTATGTGATCGACAAAAATTACGTAGACTTTTGTCCAGTGAGTGTATATTGTCGAAAGGATCGTTTCCCTGTTCAAAGTAATTCAATCGGTATATAATGAATACAAATTTCATTGGATCGAAGTTGAATTGGATTGTATAAGGAAAGTGAAGCAGATATTTCCCAAGTTTGATTTACCTATAAACCAAGCTGATGGTCTTGGAATGCGGAATTCGAGTAACAAGGCGGTCGTTTTATTGAAGTATTGGGTGGGCTTGAGAACACAAATCAAAGAAAATTAAAAGAAGATTCAGAAAAGCTTCTGAAAGAAGCCGTATTTATTACAACAAAAATACGAAATTAGCTGAACAACAGAGAAAATTGGTAGGCGAGCATTTTATAACAAGAGGTAAAGCTGATTAGTGTAGTGTCGACGCGACTGCTTATTACAGTTACGATTGGGCACAAAACGTTCACGTGCCCCATTCCGATTAGCCGGTAAAATTTATATCTTAGTCCGCGAAAAGTACATTTATTTGGTATCCGAGATGAAGCGGTACGCGAACAAATTAATTATGTTCTCGATGAAGACGAAATTATCGGCAAAGGCCTTAGTGGCACCTTAAGCATGGTATTCGATGGAATTAAAAATTTGAATAAAGGCGAAAAACGTTTAAAGATTACTTGCGATAATGCGGGAGGCAGAATAAAAATCACGCCACTATTTGGTTTTACTTGTATTTGGTAATCTGCGACTATTATTATTATGAAAGTATTGAATTAAATTTTATGGTACCAGGACATACTAAATTTAAGTATGATGGAGTTTCGGATTAATTAAAAAACTATACCGAAAAACAACTGTAGATTGTGTGAATCATATTGTTGAGGTCGTGAAAAGATCGAGCACAGCAGGATTAAACAAAGCTCAGTGCTATGAAAACGGCAAAGGCTTTCAATACTTAGATTTTAACCCTGTGTTGGGGATTTTTTTAAAAAAACTAAATGATTTACGAAAATACCAGCATTTTCTCTTTGAAGCAGGAGTCATCAAATATAGTACCACGAAGTGTGCCGTAATCACTTATCGCTGAGCTAGTTCCAACTGTAATGAACTGAAGTATACTTTTTAGAGACATAGGCGCAAATTTTAAAGTTGACCTGGTATAGAAAAAAACCTCTCCACTATTTTCCCCTGCAATACCTTTTCCTTTGCCTGGTTTAGTCACAGCAGACGACTCGTCTGATGAAGGATTATCTTCTACTTCCGCTGTCTTTCTTTTCCTGTAAGTTTGTGTATATATGGATAATTTTTTGTGACTAGTGCTATTGTCATCTGTGAGTTCGCCAACAAATTTGAATATCGACTCATTAACTGAGTTAATCGCCTTGTCAAGGAGATCTTGCTGAGAATCATTATGAGCATAGAACAAAGTAAACCGAGGACGATTGTACAATTCCGAACAGTTTTTCGGGGGAAAGAGTTTGCCCTGCATGTATCAGTTTCTTCCCATGACCACACCGGTATATATTGAATAGTCGTTCCTAGTTTATAAAACACTTTGTAGTTATACTTCTGAGGCGAAATGACAAGAATTGTCTTGGCGATACAATCCGTCCATCCACGATATACCAGACATCTTCATTTTCCAGGTAACGGTCGAATGCGTAATTGTCTTCACAAATTTTGTGAACAGTATCATTACTAAAGAGAATCGGCAACTTGTTGTACTTGTGGTATACAACCGTTTTGTTTGTTGCGCAAGTTTATAAAGTAAGTAATAATCAAAGAACGTTTTTCCGATCCCCGGATAAGAAAACGACGGATACTGGTTCTTTCAAAAATACTCCTAGATAGGTGAAGATAACGTTCACGGACGAACAAGGTCGTTATATTGTTATTTTGATTATCTTTACCAAAAAGGTGAGAGACTTCCTCAGGAAACCGAACGGGGAATCGTGGTTATCGCCAAAATTCTCATCTGGAGTGTTCTTGAAAGCATCCAAACCCCTTGCAGTTTTATATAATTATAATCACTATCATCAACTTTTCTTCGTTTGCTAAGGGAGTCTAAAAATATTATTGATGAGACATGGACATGGTGTAGACGAGAATTAAGCAACAACAGTTAACAGAAAGTCAAGCTATATCGCGTTGAAAATCTCACTTACCACTAGCACCGTGTCGATCTATAACGCGAATGTGTTTGGGCAAGTTTGACGGTAAGAGGCAGAAAAGAAAACCACAAGAATATGTACAGTATTGTGTGCAGACAAGGCAATCATAGTAACGAGTAATAAATACTACGAAAATAATTGTGTTGAAAAACGCTACAAATAGACTATTTTACAGAACTTACTTTGACTATTTAACTGAATGGCAAAGTCTGATATTCTTTTTTCTGGTCCTAATTTCAGTCCATGGCTTTCCAAACCGGCAAAATTGGAAAAAAAATAATAATATAGTTGGATCAATCTTAGAAAGTCATAACCGGCGACTTCAATTTCACGAAGAATATTAATATGTTATTCACTCAGATTTAAAATTTGTTGATTGTAAGTAAGCAATAAGAGTTTCCGTATTATATCCTTAGAATTTCTTCCACCGAGGGTTCAGTGATGCTGTTTGTAGACATTTTCGATTTAAACAGTCGACAGTCGGAAGATAAACAGAAATCTATTGTCGCACAAATCAGGATCAGTAAGACGCGACATTTTCAGGTGATCGCTTATTTTTGAACTGTTACAGGTAAGACAATATTCTGTTCCATTCTATATCATGCGCCATGTCATCCATAATTGCCATGGTGCAAAACTTTATAAACCAGATTATAAGCATGCAGTCAGATGTAATTATTGATCTGAACATGTCAACTAAAATGACTAAAACTAATGCTAATACTGATCAAGACAGAAACGTAATGCCAACCCCAATTGTCAAAGACGGTAACGCCTAATTTTGGTACACAAAGTCTCCCATGCGCATAACAATTAAGTGTATGATATTAATACAATCCACATACCTATGTCAAGTCATGCGATGGGTGTGAGTATATTTGTTAAATATATCGGTAATAGTAACTTAATATTACTAATTCCTTATCACTAGACTTTTTCCACATTATACTTGTTAATCGTGGGAACAACGGTTTGCATTCTTTCATGAGTATTAGTAGTCGGGAAATTTTACCCAATAATTTCAGTTCATTCGAATTCGGAAGCTCTACCGTAACTTTATTAATCGATTAATAAGAATATTAGGCAGTAATGGTGGGAAAAATAATAATACGATGGATGATTCTAGAGTCATAAAATAAAAGAAATCTAAATATTACTGTATGACATCACAAAAAAAATTTTCCAACTGTACTTTACTGTATTCGATTTATCGCTCGTAAACTAAGGCTTTCCGTTATTCCCGCTTTCTCGAATTGGTTAAGAATAAGAATCAGCATATTAATATGGTTTTAAAAAACTTGCTATTCAACTCTGGCTTCTCTATGGTCTTGTTTGTCGTTTTCAATTATCAGTTTGGTGGCTATATTAAAAGTTTGCCGTAATCAGTCGCCACAATGTTAGATGAGATCTCATCAATGTGTTGAATCATACGATATACCCAACAACACGAACAGCACTAACCGTATGCACTTTAAAAATAATGACACGCATAGAATAGATACATGTTTGTATGCTGTACGAGCATTAGAAAGACCAGAGCAGAGGATACTCGTTACTACATCTTTATTTTGACCACTTACACTGACGTTTTACATCATGTAGCAGTAAGTATTTAATCACTCTACAGGGGCATGCATCAAGTTCCTATCCAGTTTGGTCTATGGCACTAAATAAAGCTGGTTTCGTAACTAGTACGCTTGTGGCTTTTTTCTGGCAAGAGTTTTCTGCGAGAAACTCTTCAGGATTTCTACAGCGGAATGTGATCATATGAAAATGATCACGTAAACAGTAAAGTTTATGGTGTTATCTGACAGTAGTATTGTATTTGAGATATTCATGTGTTTATTATGTAATAACTACCAGTGAGGGGTTATAACGGTAATCATGGGGTCCGTATTCACGAGAGGATACGGTATATTGGCCAATTACCATTTACTGTTAGCCCCGTGTTGGAAAGAAGGGCGGCAAACTAACGGAATTTAAACATCAACCAATGAAAAGCTTGCGCCTTAAAATTTAACGCCGACAAGTATTACGAGATGCAAGCATTGTCAACAGCCAGATCCAAAACCTGAAAGATTATCAAATCAACTCGGGACCACCAGAGCAACGAACAAATTAACAGGAACAATCAGATATTAATTAGGACTGGGCTTTACGTCTCATGTTCTCATAGGTCACACATTCTGTGAACGGACAAATATATTTACACAATCCATGCATATGAATAATTGAATTTTCATATACATTCATCTTTGTATAACAATGAATCAATAAATGGGGGCGTTTGAGTGTGTGCGTGGGGCGGGGAACGCATACAGTGGAGATGGATATCTTTCCTTTTCATACTAGATGATCTTATCAGCAAACATCTAATATTGTGGGAATATAAACACCTATTTCTTTCCATACCGAACGGTTGGGAACAAGTATATGCTGAGTGGACATCATCAGGTCACCTGGTGGCATGTGAGCGTGAGTATTGCAATCAAATCATTCATACCGTCACATGGAGCGGTTAAATCATTCGGTGTATTTCACTAATTTAACAGTTAACGGACATATACTATTAATTTGCCAATACATACGATAGCCCTCCCGTTCGTTCGTCTAGGGAAAGAATCCTGGCTTGTGTCTTTTCTTTGTGAAGCATTCATGTTCATTGTCCCCGAACCGTTAGTATTTAATTCATTTCCACGGTAAGGTTCCAACCTCCGTGTGAAAATGCCCTTCCTCTTACAGCAAGTACGCTGGAACTTGCTACGAATTATTACCAAAATATACGCAGTTTCACTCATAGAAGTCCTTGTTAAGTTAACGATCCGTTAACGGCCTGTACCCCTTCCTGGTATGATAATATTCCAGTAACGTTTGCCCGTTCAACCCTTCTGCACACGCCACACTTTCAAGTGCAAGCTTTCTCATTTTTTTCATTTTTTTTTTCTTTTTTTTTTCTTTTTTTTTTTTCACCAAACAAAACATACGGGTATATAACATGCCAATAATATTCATTGATATACACTATGGACTAATTTAGGTTTACTATGAAGTCACAAATCATCATTTAACCCCCCACCTTCAAACATATAAATACAACAAACCGCCACATTACCGTAGCATTAAAAAAACTGTTTTCATTTCCGTTTCTACACAATGACCGAACCACACTCCCCTACTACACCGCTAACATACTCTCATTCAAGTGATACATTGCATTCTACCACCGACACTACGGAGCGCCAAGAATTCGGACAAGACCATTCTCAATTAGAGTATCAACAACAAACACAACCGAGATATACTCAGAACTATTCAGACAATCCAAATCATCAACAACAAGTATATTATTCCAATACTTTCAACTCCTCACCCTCTATTTTTCCATCGGATCAAATTTACGATGAAACTTCACCACTACTTCGACCTGCCTCTCACACACCGTCTCCCACTCGATCGGTCGAAGGTCATAACGTATCCAATTCTCCTCCGATCTCTCCTGAAGCAACCAACGTTCGCCACCGAGACCATGTCGTCCGAATCATCCATCCAGATAGTAATTCTAATCATGACACAAACTCTTGTTGCGACGACACTGATTCGGACGGAGGAACTATAATGGAAAAGGGGGCTAAAGATGTGTGTTTCCCGATGATCACAGAGTCCAAAGATAAGAAGGGCATTGATTTCGCAGTGTTGGAAGAGTACGTCAGGGAAGAAAACGAAAGGAGGCTCAGAGAGCAGAAAATACGGAAAAGAAGACGGTGCGAGTCTGTTGGGCATTTATCTGATAATGGCCCCAGGAGTATTCGTCATCTACCGCATATACATAGCGTAAGTGAGCGAATGAATGTGTGTGTGTGTGTGGGGGGGGGGGGGAGAGAAAGAGGGAGAGGGAGTAGCCCATCAAATTATATCTCTCCTTGTATTATATATATGTACGCATTAGAGAAACGTGCTTGGTTAATCTTTTCAGACCTGCCAAATCTTTGTTACCATATACTAATTCTCTCCTCACCCTTTTCAATCTCAGAAATGTGACGCAACTCTTCGCTTTACTTTCTACTCCACAGCATGTAACACTGTCCATGCGCACACTTTAGCTGAGATTCCACCGCCGGGCATGACGCTGACACAATTAGTAATGGCTGGATGCTGGTGGATCGATATAGTCAATCCAACTGACGATGATATGCAATTGTTAGGACGGGTGAGAATAGCATTTTCTGCATATTTGGAGAATGGGGAAATATTATTGAAATGAGAAAATAGCCTTTACTATGGCCGAGTAACAATGTCGGATAAATATATCGGGAAACATATCAGTAACAATTATTTCTCGTGTCATTAGGCGTTTGGAATTCATCCACTTACGATAGAAGATATTCAAACGGAGGAAACAAGAGAAAAGTGCGAACTGTTCAAAAACTATTACTTTATCTGCTTTAGATATTTTGATGAAGACAATTGTTCGCCTACTTACCTTCAGCCGTTGAGTATGTTTATGGTTGTGATGAAAGACGGAATACTGTCGGTACGTTACGTGAACAGAGAGTTGAGAGGGTTGGACAGGTGGTTGTGACATTTATGAGCTAATTTCGTCATAATTGAATCCGATCTGGCAAATGACAGTTCCATCGTCGGCCATCATCACATCCCGCAAATGTACGGCGGCGTATCAGGCAATTGAAGGACTATATTACCGTCACTCCAGGTAAAGTAAAAACAGAATGTACTGACTAGGAGTGATCCTAGAGCACTAACATTGTAATTTCTCTTCCACATATCCCAGACTGGATAATCTATGCCCTGATAGATGACATTACAGATTCTTTTGCGCCAATAATCGGCACCATTGAATACGAAGTAGACTCTATTGATGAGCTTGTTTTAATTCTCAAGGAGGCCGAGCAATCTGATATGTTAAGGAGAATAGGGCATTGTCGTAGAAAAGTAATGGGATTATTACGACTGTTGGGGAACAAGCCAGACGTAATGAAGGGTTTGGTTAAACGATGTAACGAGCTTAGATGGGATGTGGTTATCAGTAACGAGATTTTGCTGTATCTCGGAGATATCCAGGGTAATGTTTGTTGACTGCTAAGAGATATTATTAATGAAGAAAAAAAAGAAGACATTTTGTAATAGTATCTAATTAATTATAGAAATTTTGATTATACATACGTTTGCGTTGGGGACATGAGCCGAGGCACGTTTTTTAACACGTTCTATTTTGTAGATCATATCATAACAATGGTACAAAACCTCAACCATTACGAGAAAATTCTTTCGCGTTCACATTCCAATTATCTTGCGCAAATCTCTATTGAAATGACACAAGCGAACAATCAGATTAATGACATACTGTCTAGATTAACGGCGCTCGGAACTATACTCGTTCCAATGAATTTAGTAACTGGTGAGTAATCACCGACTGTAGAGGGTGGTTTATTCTAAGTGATTACTATTATTGACTGTCACATTTGCTTCCAATTAGGTTTATGGGGAATGAACGTTCCAGTGCCGGGACAAGAGTCGGCAGGATTAACATGGTTCTTTTCGATATTAAGCGGCATTGTCATATTTTGTCTCTTGGGTGTAATAGCTGCACATCGAATTAACATCGTATAGCAGTGAAGGCATGTATGGTTTAACAGTCTTGACCGAACACAATATAAAGAGAGGGGTCGAGAGAAATGGAACACGGAAAAAGATGAAAGACCTCCGAAACAGACGAGATATCAGCCTTATGTGTAACCGAGCCCTTATATACAATGTCGATCACCTTAGAGAGACCTTTAATCCGTTATTAGTTTATAATTATAATTATAATAGAATTGTAATGTTATCAAAACAGTTATTAAAAAAGTACACTTATTTACTATTGAAATGTGATTTTGATGCTCGAACGGTCGAGTGCGGGGGCTTTGATCACTGTGCCCCCACCCCGCTGACAATAATGTTTCGTCTTTCACTAACCATTGTTGGACTGATCCTCGAGATGGTTAAGTTGTGGCTTCGTTCCAGGGCTAAATTATTTATTATACTAGGACCCCACCCCCGATATGTAACCGCATGGATATATTTTCAAAAGAGTTTCTTTGTAATGTTACCTGTCTTCTAAACCCGCTACAGAAGTCGTCATTCGCTTATTATTATAGTTCATCGTGCTCAAAAAAGCCAATATATTCATTCCACTTGTACAATAATGGCGTTATCAAAGAAAGAAGCTCAGAGATCCCCAATGAGAAACCCGTCCTTTTTCAAAAAATGCTGGTGGTTCTTTCTATTTGTGCTTAATATTTACTTGTTGGTTGCCAGTATTACTCTTATATTATTCTTTTATCAGCAGGCAAGTCTCGCATTGAGGATTAATTATTCATGATGTCGACATACTGACATTTTGCCCGTTCATCACCTCACTTTTTCAGTGGAAAGTGTATAATAGGATACCGATATACTTGTACATATTATTTGTTCTGTTTGAGTTTTTTCCGCGAGTATTTATTGTTGCAAAGATATATGACTATGTACGAGAACCGTTACATCCAGCAGTCGTAGTTGCAATCCTTGTAGGTAAGCAAGATTCCCAAAGATTGCTAATGAAGGTTATGGGGAAAAAGCACAGAAAACCCCCCAATGCATAATTGTCGTCTACTAAACTACTTTTTATCTGCTACCAGGTAAACTAGAAGCATATCTCCTCTGGGGAGATCATCTTCTCTCTCGCCAGCAGATAGACAATCTAGACAACTTTGGTACCATGTCAACACTAGCATATTTCCTTTTTCTGCTATGTGCGATTTTCGCAAACCTCGATAACCTACAGCAAGACGACAGTTTCAGTCAAAACGTTCATCAGAAACTGAATTTGTTGCAAACGAGTCTAGCATGTACCGCTGTTTTTTGCGTTGCAAGAGCTGTATGGAGATGGATAAGATGGGTGCACATCACTTTCTGTAGGTGCTGTTTCTTTTGCTGGTGTTGTTATGATGAAGTCATTGAGGATTGGGAAGAAGGAGGACGTGAGAAACCTGATTATAAAAAGGTAGAGAATAATCAGTCGTCTGTCTAAAAAGTCGATATTCCAGAGATTGTCTCTACCAAATATTACGGCTGGGTTTCATGTAAATTGTGGAAATATACACATAACATACTGAACATGTATAATACTCTTTTAAATGCTTTAGTTTACCTTTATCTACAACTATTCCCACTGTACATTTTAGTCTTTCCTGCTTATAGGAAACATTTGCATAGGCTATTTCTTATTACGAAATAAAAGTGCATTCAGAAATGTAAACGGGTATGTCGATAGACTTTTTACAGTAATCAAGTCCATTACATATACGTCAGACACGTATGCTCTGTCCGTTGTAACAAGCGGAACGTGCGCAGAAACAGCATATTGTTTGAGTGACACCTAATTAAGTCATAATTGTCCGATACGTAACCGTTTCCCCCCTTGCTGTCGCAGAGTCTAGAACGTCGCGTTATTGTCTACGCTATTGTTTGACATGATGTCAATTCACTTGTCAACGACAATTATAAAGAACGACTTTTTTGGATTATAAATTATTCTTGCACTAGAATTATTTTTTCAACGTTAAACCGCAGATGCACAGCATAGTTTGCATTCACAGTACTGCTTCTTGCCTTTTGGGGAAACATCTCTATTAGCACACTTAGAATGAATGGTATTCCACTCATTCCGTTTATATCTCGATAGCATTGTGTCTTGTTTATAGTCAATTCTCCAATAGTTAAATTAATTATTCAAGCGACTAAACATAGATCAAGAATTGTTGGAGCGGCTGTACTACGTCTCCGCATAGAGTTATTTTGGTGTAGGTCATATGACAGCATGTATTTCGGATACTGTTGCACAACAAAAGATACAAAGTTCCCTGTCCAGGCGCAGTAGATACGTGCCGTCATCCAAAACCACAAAGCAGACATTCCAGACATGTCGCTACTTGATTTAGATGACATATATAAACGCAATACTCATAAAGTATATTCATAGTATGTAATGGAAAAAAGACAAAAACGCGTAAATTAGTCAACATCTAATTCCACCTTTGTTACCGAATTTTCTTTTTCCATAGCATGAACATTTTATTTTGTTATAGTGTCGTTAGTGTCTTAAAGGTTTAGCCGTTTATCCAATTACAGATACAAAGATTACAGGATATTCATTTGTATCCTTTGTTAGAGTATCGCTAACCATGTGACGTCGAATGACAATAGACATCGGTTATGACATTTCCCATCGGCTTTGCTTTGTTGCTAAACAACGGGTCTGTTGTTGCCCAAAACAATTCTTCTTGTGTCGTATTGTTGCGACCCAAATGCTGAACACTGCATTTCAAATTGGGTACACATTCAGTTTACTTGGGTCTTTTTGGCATGGTAATCCCAAATACAAAGAATGGAGATCCAAAGTCCTCGGTTGAAGCGCAGGTACAAACAAATACAATGTTGTTTAGTATTATGCTCTATACTAAGTAAGAATAATACTATTCAAATTTTTTCGTCCCCCTTTCAATATTGTTGCGTGTTATCATATTGCTTTCGCCTATAAATATGACTAAAAATTGGTAAAGGCATGTCGTAGACACATTCAAACATCTTTACAAGATTCATATTTTTGTTAATTATCATCTAATTACTTCCTTGATTACTTATCCCATCACGATGAATAACGGTTTTTTCTACACTGACCTGGTTTCTTCCATCGCTTCTACCTCCGCAAACGTCAAACCTAATCCCATAGCCGATTTTACGGATACTGAATTACACCTTTTGGACTGGCCACCGTGCTACGTTCATGAGGATCTACTGAAGTTTAATGACAAGTCTCGTCCAGTAACCCCGCCGCGACCACAAAATGCGTGGGTGCTGTATAGGAAAAACTTTGAAAAATGCCTGCGTTTACAAAATCCTGACGGTGTCTTTCGCGTAAAAGACGTCTCTAAAAAAGCTAGCTTACAATGGAAAGAAGAGCCGAGCGAAGTCAAACAGTATTTCTGTGCACTCTCAAAATTCGCGCAGTATGTTCATAGATATACCTATCCCTATTATGTATATCATCCAAAACGGAGAAAGCGGGAAAACAAAGAATACAGGTTTAAAGTCATAGGGAGTAAAGAATACGGGAGGCGTGAAATAATAAAAGAGGCCGCGAACAAGAGAACCGACGAAGGAAATGGCGAGAGTGCTGGACGCACAGAAACTTCGAGTGAAGAATGTAACCTGATAAATGAGAATACTGTTGGCGTTGTACCTGTTGAGAACGTCCAACTCAATAATAACGTTTACGTTAACGTAAACGATTCATCGTTCTTTTCTTATTCACTTGGTCCTGGGTATTACATGACAGTCCAATCTACCAATGACGCTACCATGATTGATACGAACCAACAATCGATTGTAAATTGGACTGAAGACAATGGCAATATTAATTTTTATTAATATCACATGTCTATACTGTAGACAAGCATTACATACAGTTTAGTGAATTATAAGTGTTTCTTTATTAAGCTTAACAAAGATATGGTATTAAATGTGTGTGTGTTTGGGCTTCCAAGATTATGATTATAAGCTTTAATTTAAACTATATGCAGAAATATATGTATGCACAGACTTTTTTTTTATCAAATACAATTTATACAGAGCGTCCCATATATATTAACAAGGTCAAATTCTATCGTTTCAAATATAGCGTGTCATACACCTGTCGTTCCAAATTCGGCAACACAATTTCCCAGTGTGCTCCCTCATCCGTAGCAACAGTAAAAAAATTCCCTTGCCCCCTCGCTCACGTAAGTACAATAGTACAATACAGAATGTTGATGAAGACAATCTAGTCCTTTTAATCTTTGACGTGTCATATGCTTATTGTTTCTAATTCAACATAATAATGTCATCATATGTATCAAGAATTTATTTAAATCTTTTTTCACATCATATATATATATATATATATATAAGTTTTGACATGCGATTGTGATACTGTTCTCAGACGATTGGCACAAGATTGTATCACAAATTGTACTACAATATAAAGCTGCAAGTCGGCACTATCGCATCCATCTCATTCGAACGAAACACAATTAGAAATAATATCAGCACGTGTATAACACACGATCATTTGACCATTGATAATGCAAACCGCAGTCGATAGTACGTCTAAATAAGGTCAACCCCGCTTTGTTACTATACTTGTCCGATAAAGCACTCGAAACAGAACTCGATAGAAGAGAACAGTGGAGGTTTATATCATGGGTTGTGGATGCGATATTGGTTCGTTGTAACGTATTACTTGTGTTGGTCTTTTTGTTGTCTGCCTCGGGACACAAATTGGTGGTGTTTTGGTATGTCAAATAGTGATTGCATATTGGCGATGGCGGGCCAATGGGTGATGGAGAAAATCGGCGATAAGGATATATTTAACCGAATATGCGCTGTCTTTTGAGTGATAGGCTGAAACCAATGTTGTGTAAACAAATAAAGTTAACAAGAATTACAAACGCGGCGAGCGGATAAGTGAAAAATCGAGAAAACATTGCAATGCGCTATGTAAATTGTCAAAGCATAGTCGGATGCTATATTGCCAGATTCTTCTAGAGAAGAGAGAAAATTTTATCGTAATAGTCCGGTAATATTAAAAATTGGACACAGGCTGTTTATTAGTTATGACTAATTCGGTAATGGCTTTTTGTTTTGTCTAACGGGTGTAGCTCGGAATATTGTGGGTTAGCCGATCGCACAGTATATACTCGAAAAGGCAAAATATAAATCAATATTGATTTGAAATTTTTCGCTTTATTAAAGTCGTTCTATCGTCATTGATATTTTATCGATCCGTCGGACATGCGGAGTTTATTACCGATAGTCTCTGTTTATTTTTTGTGGCATTCTGTTCTAGGGGGTTAGGGTTAGGGGTGAGGAAGAGTGGAGAGTGAGGAGTGGAGAGTGAGGAGTAGGAGTAGCATAAGACATTCTATGTTTACCGCACCGCCACTGCTGCTGCGGGGATAGACGTTCTCCCAACGAACAATACAATCATCTCAGATTGTGAGTATGTTGCACAATGGGTTTAAAATAAATAAACAAATGAGGTAAATTGGAAACAGCCCGGTTACCCGTTACGGTAATGACCATTTATTATGGGATGGGTCCTATTTTAACATACATATTATAATATTATTATACAGGAAACTTATATGTTTGTATCTTACATCATCGATATCTTACTAACATAGTGCGCGCGACTCTATACAAGCATAGATTATTATTTTTTACATAAATAAATATCTTTATCGTTCAAATTGATGTGCCGTATAGTATATAAGATTAGAATATGACCGAGCGAGTAAACGGTTTATCTATATAGTAAAGCAGAAAGCCGGGAAATCATCAATGTCGTCGATATGAACATCGTCAGAGAAATCATAGTCATCCAAATTGATCATCTCGCATGCATCGTCATCGCAGCAGGTCGTACTACATTCTTCTTCGTGCAGAGCGTCTTCACTCACTAGTCCATCATTTTCCGCTTCAATGTTTCGTTCGTTTGCAATATCTTCACAGTTTTCGCATCTCACAAATTTCTCTTTATTAATCACTTTGAACAACCACCTGTTCTCTGGTTTGCGCGGCTTCTTTTGTGGTCTGTAGGCGTAATCGGGATAGGTGTGTTTGTGTTGTTGGCTAGTTAATTTAGCAAGTACATCGAAATATTGTTTAACAATTTGTGGTTGACGTCTCCAGTCTTTTCCAGCAGTCTTGGAGACATCTTGGATACTGTACGAATTGTCAGGGTATTGCAAACGCAAACGACTCTCAAAGTTTTGACGAAAGATTAACCATGAATTCTGAGGGCGCGGCGGTGACGGGTTTCTTCTAATGTTTCTTCTGCGTCTCTTGCGCTTCGGATTAAGAAGAGACTCTATTGAGATGGTGAGGTTGTAGGGTGGATTACGCAAAAGATCGCATTCAAAAGAAGTAAGTGTTTTTTGAAAATTATATATTATGGCTGCCAAAGCGGTAGGCGAGCTTGATGTCGGTCCGTTTGATTCCAAGTGAGAGCACATTGGGAAACTTGTAAAATACCAATCCTTTAACATGATTACACTTTGCACTGTATTTATAATATCGAAATCTAATTATCACAATGTTATATGACGCGCACTATACAAAAAAGGTTTTATGACATTTTTCGTTTAAAAAAAAAAACTTTAAAATTTATTTTCCTTTCACCGCACATATCAGCGTAACATTCAGTAAATAATCGGCTTCCCCTGGTCAAGTATGTAACAAAAGCAAATAAGCGTAAATCGCAGGTCACAAGTGCATGATTTAAAATCATGCCAAGCATCCATTGTGACACTGTGGCACTAATCCTTATTCCCTTTGCGACATTTGGTAATATTAAGTCTAGACTTGTGCTTTACAAAAAAAGCCAATATCCTATTTGTGGTTTCTAATCATATCATATCGTTTGAAACCAATGGACTGTAGGTCATCATGGGACAATACAAATTGTATCATATAATTGAGAACTGGATGTTCATTTGTCAGGTTCGGAGGAACCGATTGTCAACTTTCTCGAATAATCCAATTCATTGATAAAGTTGATACGATAGAGTTTGTTAGTCTTACAACAATTATTTCATGTGACACTGATTATAATGATGCCTTTTGGTTAATAAATACTATAATACCAACGCGTTTGATACGTCCCGGAAACAAGATGAACGAAGCGCATCCGAGATTGAATTATTAATAGTAATATAATGTTGCGACCCGTTTCAAGATTGTCGACGTTATCACATAAATTGTTACACTTTATTGGTGCAAGAAATTATTCTAATTTGACAATCCCGAAATCCTGGAAGGTCAATTTGTGACTGTACGTATTCCGATAACGCTTTTCTTGACATTTTTTGCCACAACATATTTAGTGATATCACAAAGGCGTTCATACTTTTACGGGGTAAGTTATCATAATTAACCTATCCAGTCAAGAGTCTTCCATAATGCCTTCGAAGACAGTGACCATCCCTGCACGTTGAGGTGTTAATTCGCTTCAAGTATATAAAAATTTTGGGAGATAAATAGCAGTTGTATTACATTGTATAATCGTTACCGTATTGAATAAAGTGTGACCGAGTGCACAAATTGTGACATTAATATTCCAATCATTGGGTATTATAACCAGAAACGTTAATTAAACTGATGATAGGTGCAACCAATGTTCGAGTTTCATTAGTTACTGTATGTGAATATCTACGTGACAGGCAAACGGTATACGGAACCCTATTGTTTGGAATCAAATCATCGAATAATCGCGACGATTTCTAACACGTGCGTCATTAACCAATCCAATATTTGTTGTGATAAAAACTCTTTTACGGATGCAAACCGGCAAAGTAGGAACAAATCATATTCGTAAAAGTGTTTGTCCCCGGCCCCCCCCCCCTTTGTAACGCATTTAGCAGAAGTTACGAATTTCGAGATGATAACAGAACCACAAGTTCATCGTGCGAAAACCTTGTTTAGACTTTCCAGTCAAAAATCAATATTATGAATTGGGAAATTTGTATCCATCTTGTGTTCAAATTTTGCAATTACTGTGTGTAGCAAGTTTTGACGCACAAAGCATGCAAATAATATAGTTCTTTTATTTCAACGTCCTTAATATAGTTATATTGATGTGACGATTGCATTTACTATAATTATTCATTATTCATACTACATTAAAAAGAAAAGAAAAAGTACATATATCTACAATACTATTACCATGACAACTACAGAACGATCCTATGTTTACAACTCTTGCAATAGTATTGCCCTTGCGGTCGTAAAAGAACCACATCCATAGTCATTCAGATGAACATAAACCCAAGCTGTCTCTTTCGCCTCAGTAACGTATCTATGCACAACCGATTCAGACATATCAAGATAGTCAACTGCTCATTTGTCTATACCGTATTAATACCATTCTGCTTACGATTAGTAGGGCTATCAACCAAACACAATGTGAAACAGCCCGAAAACGTGAGTCTTGTGTTGCGAGATTGACGGTATAATCCTCACGTAGAAGCTTTCCAATGATTTTCCTCTTCCAATGTGATCCATCCTCTTCCCAATGCCTGATTTTCTTCTTCGGAAATCACCCACACTCTCCCTAGCGAATGATTTTCTTCTTCGGGAGTTACTAAAATCTCATTTTTTTGTGTCTGCTCGTGGGCCTGTTTGTGGGCCTGCTCGTTGGTCTGTTCTTGTATCGCTTCTTGATTCTGTACGTGAATGCTTTCTTCCCATACCTACAGGATACATTTAGCCGGTATTAACATGAAGAAAAAAAAGTTCTGTTTCAAAATACACGCGTCCAATCAATACGAATTAATTACCCCAGTAATATTCTTGTTTTCAAACATGCCCAAAGACTCGGCAATATCCAACCAGTTATCGCTGATTTCTTCTATCTCTTCTTCCTGTGTCCTGTCTTGTCGTTTCACACGTATCATCATAAGCCTTGCCAAAAACGATAGCCACCTATGGCCTGTTCGCGCTGGTAGTATGCTCGATTTGGGAGTATAATTAGGTTTCAAGAAATATCCCATCAGATCCTTGAAAAGCTCTTTAGGCAAAAGTCCATCATATGGAATAACATGATCGTTAAACTCGGCAGCCGTGAATTGAAAAAATCTAATCAATGGGATACAATCTTCGATTGTCGATTTCAAGGCTTCAAAATGACATTGTTGCCAATCCTTCATGTCCTCTGGTAAACCTGCCGTGCGATGTTTTCCCCATGCGACGACTTTTCCCCATGCCTCGACTTCCGTGGTCCCTATGTAATCTTGTTCCAATATATTGACCAAAAGATCCTTGTCCAGTTGCATAAAATCTGCAGCCTTGAACACTACCGTGGGATCATATTTAGCCAAATCGTTGCAGAATGATAATATGGATTTGTAGTTTTTCTGGGATGCTATGTGACGAACATGCGAAAACTGAGATTTGATCCAGGCTGCTTCGTGAATGATCAAATGTTTTTGTAAAGCAGTGTTTACACTGTCCAGTCGCAGATATTTAGTAGCATCCAGCAAGTCCAGTAAGTGATCTATGTTCGTATCATCTAAAGACATCTTCCCAGTGTATAAATATCTAAAATTATCATATAGAGTAAATACATGCATACACACCCATTATATACATATACATACATATATATATATATATCGACAACAGCGATAATATGCAGCTATTCTATATATAACAGTTACTTGAGAATAGCCTCAAATGCAGCTGGCGTTATGTTTTCAATGACTATAACAAGGGGTGTTTCGTGCTTCCCTTCATGATAGTTGTGTGATAAGGCCTTCTTGAAATAATTCGAGCGTGCTTTGAGAATATTGGTGTGTGCTCGAAACAGTTTGGAATTGATCTCTTTCCCCGCCTGAATCGAAATGTCATAGTCATCAGCGCTTTCCAGCAATTCTTCGAAATCTTCAACAAGAGCCGTGGTAAATACTAAAGACATTTGCACAAGTAGGAAAATACTGCGACAAGGACCGTGGTAAATTCTAAAAAACACAATGGTAAAATGGGAGGGGGTGGTGTATCATATGATCAAAATTTGCAACCAGAAAACCGGCTACAGCGAAAAGTTACAAATACCCATGTCTTTGAGTAGGACACATATCCATTAATGGCGCATTCATTAACGTTTAACGTTGTCAACATAGCCTCATATTTCAGACACTGCCACAAGTGTTTATATTGGTAGTATCTACTGTTTCGGGTTTTCCTCTCTCCCCACGCTTGATGCTTGAGAGTCCTCTTGACCCGATTACAACGCGATGGAAAGTGGTCATGCGAATATGGCTGAATCACCTTTGAAACGCAAACTTCAAGCCCGCCATTTGACCATGATAACGATTGGCGGAACTATTGGTGTGTGTATATCGTATTTGAGAAATAAAATCTTTGCGCACCAATGTAGGCCCAATGCGTGTTAACATATTACCTGTTGCGTTAATAACCTCGCTTCTAGGTACTGGACTCTTTCTTGCATCTGGTGGATCTATTGCGGTTGGCGGGCCCGGAGGTGCATTAGTTGCTTATACTATAATAGGAATAATGGTATACTTTATCATGACATCACTTGGCGAGATGGCATCGTTCATCCCAATATCCGGATCGTTTAATACATATGCAAAGATGTTTGTTGATCCCGCTTTAGGATTTGCACTTGGTTGGAATTATTGGGTGAGTGAGTTAATTTAATTATGGATGGGACGGTCGCATCGGTAAAAGGGAATCGTCATGAGAAGAGCGGCGAGTGTGCGCGCATTCTGGGCATAAAATGCAACTCACTTGTGACTTTATTATTTATCAAATAGTACTCATGGGCGTTAACAGTGGCGGTCGAAGTGTGTGCCGGAGCCATAATAATGCAATATTGGCTTCCACATTTTCCACCGATTGTCTGGTCATTTGTGTTTTTGGTTTTTATTACGGGGTTGAACCTGTTCTCTGTTAGAGGTTATGCTGAAGCAGAATATTGGTTTGCAATGATAAAGGTGAAAAAAAAATAAAGACTATGATGACATCGTTTGGAGATTATGCTTCGCCGTGGCTATCAACTAATCAAGGGAAATCCTCTTTACCAGGTGTTGACTGTCATAGTGTTTATCATCATTGGTGTGCTACTCGATGTCGGGTTGATTGGTAACCCACCAACAAAGGTCCTGGGCAGCGTTTTTAGCAACGGGACGTTTCACAACGGCTTTCCTGGCGTATTTACGGTATTCTTGTTGGCCAGCTTTTCCTTCCAGGGTACAGAACTTGTTGGTATTGCTGCAGGTGAATCAAAAAATCCAGAAAAGGTAAATATATTGATCTAGTAGTAAGAGTGCTAGTTGCTCGTGAACTAGAATTCACGTGATATCACTACATTGTTGTTCACAAATTTAAATCAAATTTCTTTTCCCGTAATTCAAGAACATTCCCAAGGCAATCAAACAAGTGTTTTGGCGTATATTGCTTTTCTATGTTTTAGCAATATTGGTTATTGGATTATTGATTTCGTATGACAGCCCTAATCTTTTAAGCAATGAGAATGTTGCTGTGAGTCCGTTTACACTAGTCTTTTTAAAAGCTGGCTTTTATGGAGCGGCTCATTTTATGAATGCTGTCGTGTTGACTACAGGTACGTTACAATTAATGCTGATCGGTGGGTGTTTCCATTTGTTTTGTTTTTGATCAGGCCGCTATTGCTAACGACTTGTTTGTTATAGTTCTCTCTGCGGGCAATTCGGGGTTGTATGCATCGTCAAGGGTTCTCTATAATCTTGCACTGGAGGGGCAGGCTCCGCAGTTTTTTGGAAGACTTAATAAGAATGGTATCCCATTAGCGGCTCTGTTTGTGACTGCCGCTGTCAGTTGTATTGTGTTCTTTGCAATAATATTTGACCATAGTGTATTATACACCTGGCTTCTTGCTTTGTCAAGCGTTTCTGGAATGATTCAATGGGCTGGTATTAGCTTGACACATTGGCGGTTCAGAAGGGCTTATATCGCACAGGTGAGTATGAGTCTGTGGAGATCAAGATTGTTGTTATTGCAGTTGTAATCTTTTTCCTACATAAGTACAAAACGGTATACAAAGGTCATCCTTACTGATTGAAGCGCTTTGACTGATGTCTAATCTTTTTTTTTAAAAAAATATCTATAGCAACGATCCCTCGAGGCTCTTCCGTATCGAGCTAGCTTGTATCCATTCGGCCCTATATTTGCCTTTATTCTAGTGTGCATAATAATTGCTGGACAAGGATTTGGTATTTTTTACTCCGAAGGATTACGAGTAATGGCTATAATAGCAGCATATACCGGACTTCCTATATTTTTCATATTATATATTGGATACAAAGTGATTAAAAAGACCAAGTTAGTCCCACTAGCCGAGTGTGACTTTGATCGGGCCTATCAGCACACTAAGATAGACAATGTCGAGTCTGATGATGACAGCATCGACGAGAAGGATGACGACAAAGCAAGACTGTGGACTAAAGCGCGTGATGTGTTATTCTAACGCGTTCCATTTGCAGTGACAGAACTTTGCATTTACTTAGATTCTGCCAAAGGTTTGTCGATTTCATGTATATAGCCAATAAACATTCATAAATATGACACAGATTGTTGATAACATGGACAGATTTCTATTGGCAAACAATTATTGAGCATTATTAGATTTCTTTTTTTCTATCGTTTTATATTTTTGCGTTGGTTAATGTTTTTTGCACAATTTTTATATTCTGTATAAACATTTTAAAAAATGTACAAGGAGACGAAAAAAGAGACAAGGGAACACTAGTATGCATGGTTCGGCTTTCAATAGATTTAGAAGCTGTTTTATTCATCGCTTGTGGTTGTGGAATGACTGTCTGTTGTTAAATATTTTCACTAATAAATTTCACTGACGCCTATTATAAAGGATGATCATCAGAGTAATTCACAAGTTCGAAAAGGTCGTCATCATAAATTCGAACGCGTCAAAAAGGTTGTATGACAGCTCTGAAAATGTTCGTATCATGACAAATCTATACTTATCACGAGATCGTTACAATGGTTATTCTTTTTTCGCACGTAACTTGTTCTTCTACAGCAACTTTAGCGCTGTTATCAAAATAGAAATGTATAACACATTCTTTCGGTGGATAACAGCTCCATTACAGCAATTTGCATAAATTTATGTGAAAAGTACGGTCAATAACCCCCATAAAAAATTTGTCGTTTGCTTAGTAAATAATGCCATTACTAATTGCGGCATGTGTGATTCACGATTCTACACAGATACAAGTCATTCACTACTGTGCTCTGAAAACTTGGCAAGAATGCTCGCATAGACTGTAAGTAAGATATTAATACAACTTATTTCCAAGATGATAATAATATGTACACTCACTGGCCAAAAATCTATTTTTCGAAAACCCTGTAACAATAATCTTGTATCGATTGAAGTTAAATGATTGTATTCTTTGAACAAATAGCGACACGTCTACTATCGTTATAAAGAACGAAGTGGCAGTAATATATTTTTGTATGATTACAATGTGTAGCTTACATATCGTACGAGCGGTAACAAGGAATATCCATGTGCTTATTACTAATATATTTTGGTGTCCTTTTTCTTTGGTTCTTTATCAAACAGCCTGGCGTCTGTTTTTACTTGGACAGTTCTGAGATTAGCATAAAGTTTACATATCCATTACGGACCAAGGACAAAGTGATTTCTGTAGAGTAAAGATTTAATCAAAAATATATGAGATACAATAAGACTTATGCATGTGCAAGGAAATGCGTTTGTCTCTATTTTGTTTTGCTTTGAATTTTCTGATGAATTTAATTCGTTATAATTATTCACAACATTTCTCATATTTCAATACATTAAATGTTATATTTAAATATCGATGACAAATACAGGTGATTGTATTGCTACGCCTTTACATTCAAATTGTTTGCTCCGTATTCCGATAATCTGAACAAACGACTAACAAGAATGACTTGCAATGCTATTCAGTATGTATAAAAAGTCGGGCATCTCCGATTGTTTCGCTAAAAAAAATTGCCGTAAATATAGATGCGATTATTCTGCCTTCAACACTATTAATTACTTAATTTGGCAACTGTTTCATTGTATCGCGATTTCATTGTTATTACTCGCGTCACCTTCCGTCCATACACAGATCTACAAAGCGAAATGTTAATACGATCGCTACTATTAGACAACAAACCAGTGATTATCCTTCATGACAATGGGATTGAGTATACAAAAACCACAGTTTTGGTAAAGACGCACCTTTACGTGCGAAAAGTTCAAAGCCATATCAGATATGATCGTCCGTTGTACCATATGATATATTCGAATCGTGCAACTCGAGTGTGTTGCATTACATATTTAACATTATTTGTTGGTAGCTTTATAACAATTATCATTACAAGATACGCCAAAATCTAAACAAGTATGGTATATGTAATGTCTACCACGTAACGAAAAACATTGAAAATTATTTCAAAGGAGAAACAAAATAGCAAATTGATAATATTTAATATTTGACCCAGTCAATTTGAGCAAGATTGTTTTATTTATTAAATAAATTGGTTCGCGCAAAAAAGGTTTGTTTTTTTTTTTTTCAATTTGTGAACAATAAACAAAGTAATTGTCAAAACAAAACGCATATGTTAAGCTGACTAGATGATAATTCTGCAGATTACGAGTACAAGAAAAAAGAGCTTTGCGAAATATTCTAATAACAATGAAAATACTGCTTTATCACAGACAATTTTTTTTCTTGTGTGTTTCATATTCAAACTTAAATTGTGGCTTGTTTTTCTTAAAAGGTTCATTGCTTAATAGTAGTTATGAAAAAAGGTAACATACTCTAACCAAGTTTCCACGTACTATACACTTGATGCTATTTGTCATCAATTTGTCGTTTTTTGAGCCAAGATGAGAAACAAAACATGAATATCAAATACCTGATTATTTAAAAAGAATAGGCTAATTTAACGACAAGCTCTTGAGAAATTGCACTACGCTTGATAATTGCACACGCACAAACAAATAAGGATATTCAGCTTCTGTTCAGCTAAGCGCTGTAATCTTGGTTGACGTATCCATCAACTGTAGTGTATGGTTGTCCATTTCCAGCCGTCATTTCAACGAGAGGAAACATATAAGCAGGATAATAATGAAACAGCAGATTATTGTAGTTAATTCCAGCGTGTTCGGTGCATGCGTAACTAACTGCCTGATAAGCTTCGCCTGCTGGCATGTTGTTTACATTGTGGCATTCCGGCACATCGATACGGCTTGGTGTCATAGCCGAGCTTTTGTGCTGCGGCGTATCTTGTAAGACTTCTTTAGCGTCGTCACATTTGTCCGTCTGCTTATTTTTATTTCCAGCCCCGTCACGATTCTTTTCATTATTTGCGCTATCTTTGCTTCCGTATCCCGAAATTTTACCTTCAATGATTACTAATTCTCTATGCTTTCGGATTTCCGACCTGTCCAGTTTTTGTCTTCTTGGTACGTACGTGTAACTAGGATAATCATGCTTGTGTTGTTGGCGAGCCAATTTAGAAAGTGTTTCGAAATATGTTTTAACCAAACGCGGTTGATTTTTCCAATTCGCACCGGCGATCTTGGAAATTTCCAAAACGTTGGAATTAGGATACCGAGAACGGAATTCGCTTTCAAAGTTTTTGCGAAAAATAATCCATGCATTCTGAGGACGCGGAGGATACAACTTTTTCATCCCACGATTTTTGCATTTATTACCGACGAGATCATCGAGAGACATGGTCAAAACGTAAGGTGGATTTGCCAAGAGCTTGCGTTCGTATGGACTAAGACTTTCTTTAATTAACGCGGACATTGTGGAAGATTGATCGGCAAGAAAAGATAAAGAGGAAGATTCAGAGACATTGGGAAACGTAGTCTCTTGTTTATTTGGAAGATCGGACATCAGGGTTGTCGATTTTATTCCAAACTGGCGGTTTCCCCAAGGCAAGATTAGATATGTGAAGCCTTATTTCCGTCGAAAAGTGCTATACAACAAAAATGCAAATGGATTTTTCCACTTGATGGAGACCAGCAAATAGGGACAATATTAGCAAACAAGACACAAATAGAACAGCTTTCTATATATTTATCGATATTTCTGTGCGCAGTCCTATGATCAGCTGTTCTAATTAGTGAACAAATACGACTTTGTGCGTCATCTGTGTATACAAACAGTACCATTATAGTTATTCTTCGGAATTCTACGTCCGTTTAATATTAATGCACAGGAGTAATTCAACTCCTGAATTCCAAAGAATGTTCAAATCGTCCTTGGACTAAAGTAATCGTAATAGTTCAAAGTTCTGTTTCTTTTAAAAAAAAGGAATGTAAGAACCGCCCGCAAGGTATGTCTATCAATTTCTGATTGAACGTTATGGTTTATAGACACTTGGCGCAGTTTTAAACTATTATCGGACAAATATTCAATATGCATACTATATATCGGAGTTTTCGGAAAATATATTTGTAAGCATCCAAATGAGGGAAATGTAAATTTGCCAAGCTTAGAGAAGTTTTCAAGATATTATGTTTTTTTCAAAGCCATGCAATATTCAATGCCAATTTGACTGACTCACGGCCACCCAAGACTCTTGTATAACATTACGACATTATCCAAATTCCAATCAAGTTGCAGATTCTTATAATAAACCCCAACCCCCGACACACCAAACCCCTGCCACACAAGTTTCATGCTTAAAAATGGGGGGAATTACGTCTTTTATATGCAGCATCAAGTCTATTGGTCTATGGTAGTTACATGAAAGCTATACTAAAACTGCTACATAAACGACATATGACATCATAGATTCGATTCGATGTGATTCATAACAAAACAATTCTCTATCCGGAACGCAATGTACAATTATATATATGAAAAAAAAGGGAGAGGGGAGTAAACAAATACTATAGTAACTTTAATAGTTATGTTATCAAAACAATATTATTCTCGCCAACACAGTTTGCTGTCAAAAAAGGGAGAAAAATTTCCAAAATTTCTGACTCTCCCATTTGTATTATTTCATAATTTTATCCTTGTTAACCTCCTTGAACAACCAATTAGCTCTCCTGGCTTGTCTTCTCTGCCTTGGTTTGTACGTGTAATTGGGATAGGCGTCCTTGTGCCGCTGACGCGCCAATTTTGCAAGCACATCAAAATATTGCTTTACAACATCCGGTAAGTCTTTCCAAATTTCGCCAGCAAGTTTAGAGATCGTTTGGATGCTGTAGCATTCGTCAGGATACAATGCACGCAATAGACTTTCGAAATCCTTTCTAAATATAATCCACGAATTTTTAGGACGTGGCGGTGTTGTCGAGTCTTTGTCACGTTTGCGTTGTCTTTGGTTCGGATCAAGGAGGGCGTCGAGGGATTGGGTGAGCATATATGGAGGATTCAGCAAAAGATCAATTTCTTGTGGTGTGCTTGTTATAAAAGTTGTCGTAGCGATTGGGACGTGGTTGGCGGAAAGGTAAACCAAGAGAAGAGTAATTCCTTGCTCTGTTGGAAGAAAGTAAGCGGACATGGTATCGTTGGTATATAGCATATAGTTATTGTAGTCGAATTTCTTAAGTTTAATGCCTTGTTGAATATTTGTCGCTAATTACGATAGAGTTTGCAATGATAATTGTGTATATAGCTTAGAAAAGAAGGGTTTGTTACTTGTTATTGTTGTTGTTTGTTATTGTTGTTTGCTATCGTTGTTTGTTATCGTTGTTTGTTATTATTATTATTGTTGTTGTGTTGTTGTTTGATTATTTTATTCTATAACTTTTTTTTTTTTGTTTTTTCTCCTCGAGATGTTCTGAGGATGGGTCAAAAAGGTAGAAAGACCTCCCCCTTATATATCATTTCTTGGTCATCGCAAGGAAATTCGACATAAATAAAAGTACCAACCATGATCTACCTGATAGTTTATGCTTTAAAAGGTGCATAAAATAGAGCTGTATTCGTATATTACACTTTCCAAATAATATAGCTGTTATAACCGTAATTGTCATGGTTTCCATTGTATTATTATGTGTACGATTAGTTTGTGTTTAATTACCCTGTATATTAAAAGTCCCGATGTGTAACCAGAGAGATAATAATAGCCTAGGACGTTCGTGCTGAAATGCGTATGGTTCCAGATCCGCCGGTATTGGCGATGACGCACTGATATAATGATTTTAGACAAGGATGATCTGTAACACTTGTTATATTATTGACAATTATTATTATATCATCTTGTTATCCGTCTTTGATTTTTCGACAAGTTAGAAAATAAGAGATTTCCATACTTTTTGTAATACAGTGTATTATTAGGAATAAAAAATATCGTACTTGGTGACAAAATACAAGACATTTGTCTTTTTTTTTCAAACGTGGTAGACGTGCTACTTGCTCCATATAACTTTTAACTTCATTCTTTATTATTATTATTATTATATCATTTCTAATTGTATTAGCAGAGAGTTAATTACAAGTTAAATGACATCTTATCAACTTTTCATTGATTGCGAATATGCGTACTCACAGACTTACTTTTGTAAATATAACAACAATAGTAATAATCCGGCTAATTAATAAAACCTGTGGCCATAGTACCACATGTTAACGTCAGTTCGCTCTATTGGAACCGGTAATGATTTGTTGAATGAAACGATTTCTATTGGTCACTGCAATGAACTAACCGCAATGAACTAACCGCAATGAACTAACCGCACTAATATTAGAAACTTCTTGCGTAATAAAATTATGATGGCAATAGTTAAAGATTCCACCCCTTGTTTATTGAAACCTGGTCACGCAATCACACGCTGATAACCACTACTTGTCTGCGTGCTTTCTGTTTGGTTTATTTGAATTCTGTAACAAATTTCCTAATTGTAAAAAATCAAGCCCACATTCCTAATATAATGTATGCCGCAGCTGTAAGCATTAGAGGAATCAATTCGTTTGGGGACAACAATGGTCGAACTGAATACACAAATGTGCCATGCGGTAAGTATGGGGGAAAGTAAGACCGATCGTCACAGATGACCGGGATTCCCTCGACAGAAGATGTGGTGTACATCCGCGGTGACACAGCCGAGGTACATCCCTTTAATTAATGCCTGGTGCTCGTTTTCGTAATTATTCAGTCTCTTTTATACTCTGTACAAGTCACATTATAACACTGATATTACACAGATTTGTCCCTCAGCAGTGCTCATTGGTAGTGAATGTGTGAACGATGCTCACTGGGCATTTCATTTGCATGGTAATTTTTTTCTTTTTTGCGCAAGTTTTCATTGTTCTTACTTTGACCAATCTCTCTTAAAGTCCACAATTGATAAGAAATATTTATAGAGCAGATTGTTGCGGATTGCTTGGTTTTTGGGCAAAGAGTACTACAAATTATAATTGGTGCTGTTAATTCCGTAATTGCACCAGCCATAATTTGGCTTTAGTGTCAGACCCAATTCGCATGCTGCGGAATATTTGAACAAACACTGACGACATTCACCGGTGAAACACAACCAGGTTTGCTATCTTGTTTATTCGGTCACTTACTTTTGTTAAATTAAAATTTTTTTATTTCCGAGTTTTGTGTAGAAAGACTCGCTGAATTCCTCAATGACTTGCTTTGGTTCCGAATTCCATTTGAATTCGTTCAAAAACCACATGGTTAGACAATTTTCTCATCTCAGTATAATAATACTTTGTAGAGTTGTACATCATGTCTTTGTTTAATTCAATGAGCATTGTTTCTGGTAACAACGTTTCATGCTCTTGCACATTGTATGTATGGTTTATTCAATCGTCAAAATAGGCCAGAGTTTCTATTATGGGAATAACAATCTCTTCTTGCTATCACTTGACCATCGGGTTGAACGAAATAAGCAATGTCGGCTTGTCGTTAATCAACACAAAACAAATTTACGGTCGTCATTGGTTTAGTATTGTAGAATTCATAAATGCATCGAATTGCCCAGAGTTTAATTTGTCATGCAGGGCAACAGATAATGAAAAATCTGTTTAGTATTGTTTGGAACTTTCAGTCCTTGGGAATTTATTTTGACTGCATGCACAGCCCGCAAATTCTGTTGTTTAGTACTACCTCCGTTAGTCATCGGATGACAGTCTCTGTGAATGAATTCAAATATGTTCAACTAATAGAATACACATACGTTTAACTTAAACGCGCCCCATTTATTTACCAGACGGACAACACCATGTTCATTGACCTCCTGCATCTATCAAATGAAATGCTATATATGGTCTTACGACTTTCGTAAGTATTTTGCAATAAAACTAAACTATGCGGCAAGATTAATGTGTTTGTAATGGTTCTCTTTTCATGCAATTAACTCGAAAAAATTATGTTAGTTTTGGACAAGCACATTTGAAGCTTCATTTAGACTTGGTGATATCACTTGTTACAATATTAATATACTAACAATCATTTTGATAAAAGCTCATTTTATGTGTTAAAGGCAAAAGGGAAATAGAAAGGGATTTTCAACAATGTCGACCCAATCACATGAACCCATTTTTCTTTGTTATGACTCTTTGTTGTTACTGTAACTCATAAGACATAATAGTACCGTTCCACAAACAATGAATGCTATACCCCTCCCCCTTAACCCCTTATTATTATGCAAACGTTTATTGCACATGGGTCATATACAGTAAGTAGACCGCCCGAGAACGCTGGAGTCTGTTCCTCCTTAATGTTTGCTTCTCGTAATAATATATGCAATAGGTATATTATAAACTTTATCGCTGGATTTACTCTAGCGATATTTGGATACCAATTACGATTATATTTGATTATCACTTTGGATTTCCCGTATAACCGGCACTTGCTTGGCGAAAAAGCCTTGAAATAATAGCGATCGTGGTTATGTTATTACTCTCTCGTTCTGTTATTACTCTCTCATCACACAATTGATTTTAATTGGTAACAATTATCAACATGTTTGAACAAACGGTATTAAATTCGTGTAAGTATAAAGGCTATTAAGGCCACGTATAATAATAGTAATATTGTAACTTATATCTCCAACTGTGATAACCACTGGTTACGTCTAAAAAAATCTGTAGTGACGGTTGCAACATTAAATGTACGAGCCTGTTGATGATACACAAACCTGTCGAACATTGACAATCGTTGCATCATCGATCATGTATCAGTTAATACTCACTCTTGATAGAAACGCGCTAGAAGTGTAAAATCAAATTTTATGCGCAATATGTTTTTAGTTCTATCCAACGTGCTGCTCCAATATCGACTATTTTGATTTATGGTACTGTGCAACAAAAAAAATTAGATATTTGATATTGTTACTATCACCGTCTAATTAAGTTGTGCGCAACTGAACAAATGTTGTTTAACTTATTCTTAAACCGCAGCTAACAGAATGCTACTCTCTCCAACTAAAAATTATGAGCAGTCAAAAGTGCTTTTTAGAGGAAAAGTTTTTATCTGAAAAAAGTCGAAACTCGTTCTGCACAAGCATGCCGCCGAGATTGTGGAGTTTCAGGAGGTACAAGCGGGCGGGCAGTTTGTGGAAAACTAAATGTAAAAATTTACAAAGTCAAAAAGACTCCGTTCTAAATTACTGCACTTTACGTAAAAATTTACTAACGTGAACAATACCGAATGTCAACTAGCATATAGTCGACAATCGTATCGTCGATGACACATTCACTGACAGCCATCGCACCATTCTACTGCACACTATTAATTCAGTATAACTTGCATTAAGAACAGATGTATGGATTATCGCTTTTAATCCAGTATTCTCACCCACGTTCTTAGTTTTGAGGCGGCATATTCAGAAAGAGTCGACTTTAACAGACGTGATCAGGCATGACGAGGCGATGAAATAATTTGACAGTCAACAAAATAAATAAAAGGTAAAGTATATGCTGTAATAACTGTCTAACTTGGTGCAGGTTCTGTGGACGTTACCGATTGGGACCACATGCAGATTTTCTTGGAATTATATATATAATTTTTTGGGGGCTTTTAAAGAAAAAAATTTATTATTGGGGAGAGCATTTTACAAGCAAAAATGATGCATCATTATCTGGGACATACTACTGTAATTTGACCAGTATGGCTAATGACGTTTGAAAAAGCAATAATAGCATTCTTGCATGCTTTATGACCCTTTTAATGTTAAATTTATTGTACCCGAATGTATGTGTGACTGAGATAAATATGCCTAATATTAATACAGAATTACTATTTATAAAAATTCAATATAGAGCTAATTTACATTGAGTCTTACCATGTAATAAAATAACCTACGAGTTTTATCAAGTCACTGCTGAAATTTTAAATTTGTTTAAGTATATAAAAATTTATTAGTATGCATCAACTTTTTTAGAACATAACTGAATGTTTTTAAACAGTTGAAATCAAATAATTGCAGTCGTTTATTCGCAATAATTATTGTAACAATATTTTTGCCGACTGCCATTATTTTTCCTGACTGTATGATACTAAACTTTCGAAAATATAATTATCCAAAAAGTGGAGGAAGCCCAATTAAT